ATGAAATTAACCCAATAATTATAAGCAATATAGTCGGTCATCCTCACCTTAAGTGAGCTTAAGCGCGTTCGACGCTTCCCGGTTGAACTTTGACTAATTCCGGTGAACTTTGACCAACTCCGGCGAACTTTGACCAACTCCGGCGAAACTCCGGCGAAGCTCGAAAATGCTCTAATCAAGTTCCTAACAAGGTTTTAACATCATAAAACCTTAATCAAAACAAATAACCTTTAAAAGGTTATTTTCCGGTGAACTTGTCGGTTTGGTTCCTAAGTCCGTGTTTGGACTTAGAACCACTCTCCAACCTATTATTCCACACTTTAATTATGTAGAACAACCTCAAGGTCCTTCATATGATATATATCACATATGATAGAAGAAAAATAAAGGAAAAGTTAATATAAGGTTATTACCTTAATCTTTCTCACTTTTCCTAGCTTTTTCTCCTTTTAATCTTTCCACTTGGACTTCTATTGCTTGAGCTCTCTTCAAGGATGGGAAAAGGGAGGATGGGGATTTTCTTTTCTTGCTGGGGTTGGTTCTGGCCGAGAGAAATGAGGGAGAGAGAGGTGAGGGGATGATCTTTTGTCTCAAAGATCAAATGGGGTGGATGTGGTCCCCCTTTTTTTTTGTTTGATGCTTCTTCTTTCACTTCACACACATCACCCATGCCCCTTCCACCACCCAGCCGGCCAAGGCATGAAAAAATGTGTCTAATTTCGTGGGTTGGCCCCCACCCATGTGGGAGGTCAACCCCTTTTGTCCAGAAGTGTACACTTTGTCCTGAAAGTTGTATTTTTTCGGACTGTTTTAAATATATTTCATTTTATCGGGTCAAATAAAATATATTATGTGTTCTCCATCATTATAACCCTTATAATGAATATTCATTCCCCAATTTTAATTTATAAGTCCCCGAAATTAGATTTTGGGCTTTTATCGGTTAAATTGCCAATACCGGTACTTGGGCCTCTTTTGACCAATCGGTCAACTCAAGACCTTTCCATGGTTCAAATGAATTATCCACCACCATATAAATATTATCTAGACCAAGATGAATAATTTATGTGGTCCCGGGAATATCGGGCGGCCCCCGCTCCCGGTGCGGGCCCCACGTGCGAACTTACTATTCACGCAAAAATTAATAAAATTTCATAACCTCGTAAATTCGTCAACCATTTCATAAGGTTAAAATACAATATTCACTTTAAAAGTAAATACATTTAGGGACGGTGTTACAAGTTCACCCCCCCTTATTTGGGATTTCGTCCCCGAAATCCACGTGTCTAATTGAAAAGAAACGGGTATTGCTCCCTCATTGAGACCTCGGTCTCCCAGGTTTCTTCTTCGACTCGATCACTCCTCCAAAGAACCTTTACCATAGGAATCTCTTTGTTCCTCAGTTTCTTCACCTGTTGGCCCACAATCTTTACTGGTTCCACCGCATATTGTAGATCTTCACGTATCTCTACCGGTGGCTTCTCAAGAATATGAGACGGATCTCTCACGTATTTCTTGAGCATCGATACGTGAAACACGTCGTGTATCTTCTCAAGTTCTGGCGTCAACTTCAGACGGTATGCCACGACCCCTATCCTTTCAAGAATTTCAAATGGGCCAATGTATCGGGGGTTGAGTTTTCCCCTCGATATAAATCGGATGATACCCTTCCAAGGAGAAATTCTTAGGAAGACCTTATCACCGACCTCGAACTCCAATGGCCTTCGTCGTTTGTCGGCATAACTCTTCTGCCGATCTTGGGCAGCCTTGAGTCTATCCTGAATGACTTTCACCTTAGCCTTGGTGATTTCAACAAGTTCAATCCCTTCGAGCTTGGCCTCGCCAACCTCGTCCCAACACAACGGTGTCCTGCATTTCCTCCCATACAATGCCTCATATGGAGGCATGCCAATACTCGCCTGATAACTATTGTTATAGGCGAACTCTACTAGAGCCAAATGTTTGTCCCAACTCCCCTGGAACTCCAAAGCACATGCCCTAAGCATATCTTCTAAAATCTGTATCACCCTCTCGGATTGTCCATCCGTCTGTGGATGAAAAGCTGTGCTAAACTTCAGTTTAGTACCCAAAGATGCTTGAAACTTGGGCCAAAATCGAGATGTGAATCGTGGATCCCTATCCGAGACAATGGATATCGGGACTCCATGTAGTCTCACAATCTCCTCCGTGTATAGCTTTGCCAATCTCTCAAGAGGATAAGTAATGTTGATAGGCAAAAAGTGTGCACTCTTGGTGAGCCTATCAACCACTACCCATACTGCATCATAGTTGTTCACTGTTCGTGGTAACCCCACCACGAAGTCCATGGTCACATGCTCCCACTTCCATTCTGGAATGGTTAGTGGCTGCAAAAGCCCCGCCGGGTGCTGATGCTCTGCCTTAACTTGTTGGCAAGTAAGGCATCGACTCACGTACTCTGCGATATCCCTCTTCATACCCGACCACCAGTAACTTTCCTTCAAGTCTCGATACATTTTAGTACCTCCTGGATGCATAGCATATGCCGAAGAGTGAGCCTCCTCCAGTATGGACTTTTGGAGCTCTTCACTCTTTGGTATGCATACACGGTCTTTAAACAATAAAAGACCGTCATCACGTACCCGAAAGTTCTCCACGGGCCCTTCGAGGATCCTCTCGCGGATCTTCTGGCATTCATCATCAGTGGCCTGACATCTACTGATCTCACTCAGCAATGTGGGCCTAACCTCGAATCTAGCAATGAGGACCCCACTCGTGGACACCTCCACTTGTGCCCTCAAGGTTCGTAGACATGTGAGTAGTGTCCCCGACGTACTTTTCCTGCTCAGTGCATCGGCCACTACATTGGCTTTTCCGGGATGATAGTCGATGATCAGGTCATAATCCTTGATCAACTCCATCCATCTCCTTTGTCTCATGTTCAACTCTTTCTGAGTGAATACGTACTTCAAGCTCTTATGATCGGTAAAGATGTGACATGTCTCCCCATAGAGGTAATGCCTCCAAATCTTTAGTGCAAACACTACCGCCCCCAACTCTAGATCGTGGGTAGGGTAGTTCGCCTCGTGTTTCTTCAATTGCCTAGAAGCATAGGCAATCACCCGACCGTTTTGCATCAGTACACATCCAAGCCCTTGGATGCTAGCATCACTGTAGATATCATACCCTATCCCCTGTATAGGTAGGGCTAGTACTGGTGCTTCGGTAAGTCGTTTCTTCAGTTCAAGGAACCCTTTCTCACACTTGTCGTCCCATATGAACTTGGCCCCTTTCTTTGTGAGCTTCGTTAATGGAGACGCCAATACGGAGAATTTTTCCACAAATTTACGATAGTATCCCGCTAAGCCAAGGAAACTACGTATCTCTTTCACATTCTTGGGTCTCTCCCAATCCATAATAGCTTTAATCTTGGCGTTGTCCACGGCAACGCCCGAACCGGATATGACATGACCGAGGAAACCAATCTCTTTGAGCCAAAATTCGCATTTTGAGAACTTGGCAAAGAGTTGCTTTTCCCTTAACCGATCAAGTACAAGCCTCAAATGGTGTTCGTGCTCCTCCTCGCTCTTGGAGTATATCAAGATGTCGTCAATGAATACTATCACGAATTGATCTAAGTATTCACTAAACACACGGTTCATCAAGTCCATGAATGCCGCCGGTGCGTTGGTTAAACCAAACGACATCACAAGGAATTCGTAATGACCATATCTAGTGCGAAATGCACTCTTAGGTATGTCACTCTCCTTGATCTTCAACTGATGATACCCCGACCTCAAGTCAATCTTCGAGAACACTATTGCCCCTCGAAGTTGGTCGAACAAGTCATCAATCCTCGGTAAGGGATACTTGTTCTTGATGGTGACCTTGTTCAACTGTCAGTAGTCAATACACATTCTTAGTGTACCATCTTTCTTCTTTACGAATAGTACGGGTTCTCCCCACGGTGAATGACTGGGTCTGATGAACCCGTTGTCCAATAGTTCTTGTAGTTGGACCTTCAACTCTTGAAGTTCGGCCGGTGCCATTCGATAAGGAGGAATCGAAATGGGTTTGGTTCCCGGCTCCACTTCGATTACAAATTCAATCTCTCTATCGGGTGGAAGCCCCGGTAGGTCCTTGGGAAAGACGTCCGGGTACTTGCACACGACTCGAACATCCTTGATGTCGACTTTTTTCTTCGTATCATCTACCACGTAAGCAAGGTATGCGTGGCACCCTTTTCTCATCATCTTCCGTGCTCTCATCACGGATATGATGCAAACATTTGATTTCCCCCGATCTCCTTCGAAACATAGCGTGTTTCCTTGCTCATCCTCGAGCTCCAACACCTTGGTGTAGCAATCTACTCGAGCATGGTGCTTCTCAAGCCAATCCATTCCTAGGATTGCATCGAACTCCAACATGCTTAGAGGTACGAAATCACAAGTCAAGGGTTGACCCGTCACTTCCACCTCACATGATGGATAGTAATGATTTCTCTCCACATCGTCCCCTAACGGTGTGGAGACTAGCAACGTTTGCGTCATAGGTGTCAATGGCACGTCAAGTCCCTCGGCGAACGCCTCACTCACAAATGAGCGTTGTGCCCCGGTATCGATGAGGATCCTCGCACACCTACCATTGATCTTTAATGTTCCTACATTTATACACCATGTAAGATACATTTTCTAATGTTTTTACACATCTTTAGGAGGTTATTAAGTCAATACTAAGGTTTGGAATCAAACGGGGGTCCAAACGTAGAAGAACGGGGTGAAAAAATCAATTTTCGGGGGTTGGGGGTCCACGCACGGCGTGCCTGGGTGGCACGCACGACCGTGCGTGCAACGAACTAACTCTGCGTGCCACTGCCGGCCAGGCACGATTCCAGGCACGGCGTGCCTACGGCCGTGCCTGGCCAAAAATACTTCGGACGCTACTGCCTTCCAGGCACGACGCCAGGCACGGCGTGCCTGCGGCCGTGCCTGGCCCAATTTTTTTTTTTTTTCTTTTCTTCGGGTGCCACTGCCTTCCAGACACGGTGCCAGGCACGGCGTGCCTGCGACCGTGCCTGGCCAAAAATCTTCCGGTTGCCACTGCCTTCCAGGCACGATGCCAGGCACGGCGTGCCTGCGAGCGTGCCTGGCCGGCAGTGGCTGTTTCCAGCTGAATTGGCCTAACTTGCCCGGTTTTGACCCCGGGGTGGCCCGCACTCAATCCCTACGACGTATATGATCAATGCAAGCCTAGAAATACATGGGAATACGTGTATTACCTGCAACGGAGTCGGGGTTGGCCCGAGCATCGGCCTCGGTCATTGCGTAGACTCTAGCTTGCGTCCTTCCTTGATTCACGGACGGCGCGTTGCTGGCGCTCGCTCCCCCCCTGCCCCGTACTAGCATGGGGTGCTCCGGTCCGACTTCTACTTGCCGTAGTAGCGCCGCTTGATCCCGCCCCTCGGTTTCCACCAAGTTGAGGGCAATTTGGTTTAAGATGCCCCGTGTCTCCACATTGGTAGCACCGAGGAGGGTCACGACACTTACCGGCGTGGCTCCTGTTGCAATTTCGGCACCTGGGCGCTGTCAAGGCTTGTGAGCCCGAGTTGTGCCCGCCGAAAGCCGAGTTTCCCTTGGATGGCGGCGCCGGTGCCCTGAACGATCCTCCTCCCCCGTGGTTCCCCTTTTTGTTAGAACCTTGTGGGCCATGGCTTTCCCACTTCCTCTTCTTCGCCTCATCGGCGTTCCTCCGCTTTCTTTCCTCCCACTCCTTCTCTCCCTTCAGGCCTTGTTCAACCACTTGACTAAACGTCATATTAGGCAATTGTGTTGCCCTCTCGCGTATGTCAAGGTCTAAGGCATCCCAGAAGTGGTTCACCATCCGGTTCTCATCACATATGTACTCCGGTATGAATTCGGCAAGCTTTCTGAACTTGTGCTCAAGTTCCTTCACCGTACATGCGCCTCCCTGTGTCAAGTTCGTATACTCCCTCCTCTTCATGTTTACCTCGAAGTCGGAGTAGTATTGGTTGAAGAACTCCTGCCGAAAGTTCTCCCATGTGACGGCTTCGCCGTATTTCCCTTTGACCCCGTCCCACCACGTGGACGCCATGCCTTCGAGCAATCTTGTTGCCACCCTCAGTTTCATGATGGGTGGCAGCTGCATGTCAAGGGCCGCCTCGTTGAATCTTTTGATCCATTCGGCCGCAACGGAGATGTCTCCCGTTCCATCAAACGGTTTACATCCCAAATCTCGTGCTTCTTTGATAAATTTGGAGATCCTTATGGTTGGACCTCCCACATTTTGGCCTCCATGTGGTTCAACATGGACTCTAGAAGCACCTTGGCTTCCTCCTCTCGAAGCCATGCCCGAAGGTTGCCCCGTTCGGCGCCTTCGGCGTTGTCTCCTCTCTTCGCGCTCCCGGTGGTATTGTTGGAGCAGCGCCTCGATCCTCCCAAGAGTGCCATCGTCTTCACTCTCTTCACTTACATCGTCATCTTCCCCATCATATGGGGTTTCCACCGGCTCGGTTTCCGGCCTATAGGTTGAGTCCTCATAGGACCAATAAGTCTCACTCTCAGTGTCCACGTGGCCATCGCTCACGGTTTGTTGTTGACCTCCACGGCCCCTTCCCCTGGACACCCTAGTGGACCCCCGACTGCCGCGTTCGGACCCACCCGGTACACGGCCCATCGGGTTCCTCCTAGTGATCCTTCCAATTGGCTCCATTTCTGAAAGAAGTTTAGAATGAGCCGTTAGACTCGTATCAAATGTCAAGTGACGGATAGGTACTTAGGGACATCTTTTGGCTCAAATCACCGCCATGCCAATTGTTAAGGGTACCATCTTAACAATTAGAGACTTTGCAACTCAAGTACCAAAAGTTCTATAAGTACAAAACTTTATGCTCATGGTTTTCAAATTCTTTTTCAAAAAGGATTTTGAAGCTTCATTATGAAGTTTATGAAATAACCTGGCTCTGATACCAATTAAATTGTCACGCCCCGGGCCTATCCGGACACGTCAACAATCCGCCGTACAGTACGAATAGTCAACCGCAGTCCAACACATTCATACTATACAAGGCGTCTGGGATATCATTCACACATAGTACATCCATAAACAAACATAATGTAAAATATTCATTTCAAGCAGCGGAAACGTTTGATACAAGTGTTCAAGACTTCATGCCACACTTGGCGAAACATGGGCATACAAGCCATCAAATAATTATTCAAAAGATAACATCCATGAGCATTAATTTAAATGATTTTAAAACAGGAACGGAGGAAGCACGAACCACGTCTTCTTCTCCTGAATTCTCTTGGAGCAACGGCGATGGTAGCAACCTTCAAGTTCTACCTGAAACTGTGAGGTGGCCTCCCCCGTGAAGGGGAGGTCAGTACTTGGAAGCATTTGACAAGTACAATGACAACTATACTAAGTATAATCAAAGTTTCAATTTCCAAGACCCTCAATCTAAGATGTTATTCATTTATAATTAACTCATGTCTTCCATGCTAGAGCTCGGCTCATAGTCATATCAATTTGTGCTAGAGCTCGGCTCATAGTCACCCTACGTTTGCTAGAGCTCGGCTCATAGTCATACTAATTTGTGCTAGAGCTCGGCTCATAGTCACCCTACGCTTGCTAGAGCTCGGCTCATAGTCATACTAATTTGTGCTAGAGCTCGGCTCATAGTCACCCTACCACGTGCTAGAGCTCGGCTCATAGTCACGTCAATTAATCCCTAAACCACTTCTTAGTCTAGGTTCCATCCATTTTGAGTAACCCCTAAGGCTTACTCCAAATGTAACTTGAGTTCATAACAATTTGGATATTTCAATTAAATTCCTCATTCAAGTATAACTTGGCTCTAATATCAAAATATCACTTTTATCCTTCCATGACTTTCTTACATGAGGTAAAAGTATATTTATCACAATTTAGTTTATAGTTTACACAACTATTATGTCATTGTATTCATAACACACAATCATACACAATTTGTTCATAAATTTGTATATTATGCATTTTTACTTATAAACAATAATAATCTCATTTAGGCATCTTTTTATTATAAATAAATCATGCCAAACACATATAATTCATTTAGGTAATCTTATGAAATTAACCCAATAATTATAAGCAATATAGTCGGTCATCCTCACCTTAAGTGAGCTTAAGCGCGTTCGACGCTTACCGGTTGAACTTTGACTAATTCCGATGAACTTTGACCAACTCCGGCGAACTTTGACCAACTCCGGCGAAACTCCGGCGAAGCTCGAAAATGCTCTAATCAAGTTCCTAACAAGGTTTTAACATCATAAAACCTTAATCAAAACAAATAACCTTTAAAAGGTTATTTTCCGGTGAACTTGTCGGTTTGGTTCCTAAGTCCGTGTTTGGACTTAGAACCACTCTCCAACCCATTATTCCACACTTTAATTATGTAGAACAACCTCAAGGTCCTTCATATGATATATATCACATATGATAGAAGAAAAATAAAGGAAAAGTTAATATAAGGTTATTACCTTAATCTTTCTCACTTTTCCTAGCTTTTTCTCCTTTTAATCTTTCCCCTTGGACTTCTATTGCTTGAGCTCTCTTCAAGGATGGGAAAAGGGAGGATGGGGATTTTCTTTTCTTGCTGGGGTTGGTTCTGGCCGAGAGAAATGAGGGAGAGAGAGGTGAGGGGATGATCTTTTGTCTCAAAGATCAAATGGGGTGGATGTGGTCCCCCTTTTTTTTTGTTTGATGCTTCTTCTTTCACTTCACACACATCACCCATGCCCCTTCCACCACCCAGCCGGCCAAGGCATGAAAAAATGTGTCTAATTTCGTGGGTTGGCCCCCACCCATGTGGGAGGTCAACCCCTTTTGTCCAAAAGTGTACACTTTGTCCCGAAAGTTGTATTTTTTCGGACTGTTTTAAATATATTTCATTTTATCGGGTCAAATAAAATATATTATGTGTTCTCCATCATTATAACCCTTATAATGAATATTCATTCCCCAATTTTAATTTATAAGTCCCCGAAATTAGATTTTGGGCTTTTATCGGTTAAATTGCCAATACCGGTACTTGGGCCTCTTTTGACCAATCGGTCAACTCAAGACCTTTCCATGGTTCAAATGAATTATCCACCACCATATAAATATTATCTAGACCAAGATGAATAATTTATGTGGTCCCGGGAATATCGGGCGGCCCCCGCTCCCGGTGCGGGCCCCACGTGCGAACTTACTATTCACGCAAAAATTAATAAAATTTCATAACCTCGTAAATTCGTCAACCATTTCATAAGGTTAAAATACAATATTCACTTTAAAAGTAAATACATTTAGGGACGGTGTTACAGTTAGTGGTTTTAGTTTTTTCAAAAATTGCCAAATGCAGATTTCAAAATTGATTGTCCTTTAGATGAAGATGTTTGTGTCAGGGGAGGGGGTGCGTTGGCATATTGTGCATGAAACTCATTAAATAAGGCATAAAATAAAGTATTAACCTCGTTGTATTCTATTTGCGGATCGATGACCTTATTGTCATACATTGGATATGGACCAAAAAAAGCAAGATAATAGAACTTGAAACATTCTTTTAAATTACCAAGTCAAAAACGATGATCGAGAATAAATGCAATACCATAAATATGCAGAATATGTGCATAATATTTTAAAAACTTTTCCTTCATAAAACCACAAAAATAACTCACATAAGCGGCATTCTAAAATTCATTAAAAGCACTGGCGAGATTAACAGTTTCACGAATAAATTGGTTTGAGATAAGTTTATAAGCATGACTAAAACTTTCAGTTGCATTATTAAAAAAATATCAAAACATTACAATTTTTTTCGCAAGTGTCAATGTGATCGGATTTTAAAATATAGTTATCATATTGTTTTAAAAAAGAAGAAAATGTTCTTTATATCTAAGAAGAACTTTAATTAATTTGTAAGTATTATTCCAGCGAATAGACAAATCTTTAGGAAATGCAACATATTTCACACCTCTTTCAGTCAAATAATTTTTCCATTTTAATTTAAGTTGACCATTAGGCCAAATACGTCTAATCCCCCCTTGACTACCTCTATAGCATCTCCTAACGCTTTTAGACCGTCTTGCACACATAAATTTATAACATGACATGCACATCGTTGATGAAAAAATCTACCCATCAAATTATTAGAACCACACAATTCACGCAATACAGGTACAGCAGCAGTATTATTAGTAGCATTATCATAAGGGATAAGGCTCAAAAAGGACACTAAGGTTATTCACGAATCTCAAATTGGACACTTAACTTTTAAGTGGATCAAATTAACACATAATTCACTTATTTGGATAACTTTTGGCCATCGACTGACAGGAGTCACAGCTCAATCAAACGGCGTCTGCTGAATTGTACTCCGTACTCACTCCACCCCTATTCGATATCTTCTTCATGAATACCCCCAAATCCCCAATCATCTGCCACTTTCTTATGGTTTATGTCGTTTAATGTAAGTGTGGAACCTGAGTCTCTGCAAGCACACAGATGTCGTCAAGTTTTCCGGTTGTCTTTGCCGAGAGGGATTACACAAATTTTTGCCAACATAGTTTCCAGGCTTGAAGGAAAAGGTTCCAACCTTCCTTCAATGGTCGCACACTGGTTGACACTGGATTACACAAATTATATGTTAGCCGTTTTGGAATTACTTCAGCATTTGCTCCATGTATATCCAATCCATCCATATAAATTTCAATAATGTCACCCAATTCCATCCATACCACTAAAAGTCTTAAACAATACTCCCTCCGTCCCAAAAACAACTTCCCACTTTTCTTAAATGGATGTCCCAAAATTAACTTTCCACTTCAATACTTTCCTTATTTAGCAAATTATCTACATCAAAAAAGTAATAAACAGTGCCAAACAGTGTTTAAACAGTGTCAAACAGTGTTTAAACAGTGCCAAACAGTGCATTCTATAGTAAAGTCAAATTTATTTCCTAAATATGTGTGTAGGTCAAACCGGGAGGTTGTTTTCGAAATGGAGGGAGTAATTTTTTGTGCATTATTAGTCACTTAATCATAGAGCACTTAACAGAATAAAAAATTGAAACTAATCTATTAGCCAAACCCAAAAACTTATAAACCGTGCATCTTTCTCAGACAAAAAGATGTCAATGGCTTATTCTATTGGTACAACAACAACTCAGCCGGACATGGAGAAAACTTTTTCAGGTATGTCAAAGGCGGCAAAGGTAATTGACCAAAGTTTCAATACTCAGTTACCCACTGCACCAGATCCACCGGCAGAAAAAAGGGGTGTTTTCAACCTATGCTTCAAGTTCAAAGAGCCTGGCTTGAGATTTAACTGTGGTGATGGCCGCGGACCAGAGATTTGGTTCGTATTTTCAAAATGCCGATAACGCCGGTGTCGGTTATGAATTACTGGAGAATGAATGGAGATATGAATATACTCCGCATGAAATAGCTATGGGAGCAACTATTGGATTTATATATTTATTTGATTTGTAGTTACAAATTGAAAGGGATGCATTATTATTAGCTTTAGGATAACGGTTAAAAGAAGGAGAGTTAAAAGAAATGTTAATGGGTGGCCAAATATACCTCTAACAATCTATTTATGTGTTAATTTGATCCACTTAAAAGCTTAGTGTCCAATTTGAGATTTGTAAATAATCTTGGTGTCCTTTTTGAGCCTTATCCCTTATCAAAACCTATAGCAAACATCTTATCAATCAAATTATACTCAATTAAAATACGCTCAATCAAAATATAGATATGTTCAACGGTGTGACGATCATTAAATTCATGAAAAGCAAGAACACGTTTATGCATATTCCAATCATCATCAATAAAATGTGCAGTCAGACCCAAATAATGTAAATTATGATAAGTACACTCCCATATGTCAGAACAAATAGTAACACGTCCATTAAAGTTTGCAAAAAAATTGTAACCTTGCCTTTTCCGCACGATAAAGCCTTATAATTTCTTTCTTAACCGTTTTGCGACTATAACCTCTATATTGAGGATTTAAACAAGTTTGTGCATAATCTTTAAAAGCAAGACTTTAAGAAAACAAATAAGGCAAATTTTCTTCAACAAGTAAGTTTGTCATACCAGTCAAATTTTGTGCATCATTGTATTAGAAATTACCAAAAGGTTGGTCATTTACAAACCTCGATATTTGAGTTTGTTTCCCCTTGTCTTTCGATATTTTCACATACTCCACCAAGTGCACGGACTTAAGATGCCTTGTGAGGCTCCCGTATCCGCCGGAAGTTCCCAAGCTATACTCCTTATTGCAATGATTGCAACTTGCGTACCATTTCTCGGTTTTTTTGTCTTTCCTCTTTGTAAAATTATTTTACAAAATTGGGATGAACCACCCTCATCCTCCAACTCTTGCTCATCATCTGGGGTGCCGTGAGTCCCGTCGTCCCTCGCGTCCTCCTCCGCATCCTCATCCTCGAGCTCCTATTCGTCAATGGACTCCGAGATGTTTTGTTGATGGAAAAAGCGGCCATCATTTTGCGCCAATATGTCTTGTAGTTGCTCGTCGGACATCGCATCCCCATCTCGCCGTTGGTAATCCGTTTCAAAATAATCTTCACTTTGAGAAGAAGACTCGGCCCGCCCTTTACCTTTTCCTTTGCGTAAACTAGGATGAGTTGTCGCAATCTCCTTCCTTCGGTTGCGTTGGAGATTACCCATATCTACAGAATGTCTACCACGGTCCATCTTTAAAATGTAACAAATATTAAATTATATCAAATATTTTAATATGAGTACAATAGTAATAATAAAATGCAACTAATAACATTATAGCAAATTTCCAAGTACTTTAATAAAATAACAAGTGTATTTAATTTATTAAAATAGGAGTAATGAAATTCCAATACTTTGAGTGTGTTTATTAAAATAACAAGTGTGCTTATTAAAATAACAACTAATATATTAAAATGTAACAATTAACTAGTTTTTTTAATAATTGAAAAACGTAGCAATAAGCCAATGAAGTAGTTTAAATCTTGAACAAGTTTAAAGTATTAAATGATTAAATTTTAACTAACTAATAGGATAATGAGAAATGTAACAATTAACTAGTTTTATACTTTGAGCATTAAAGTATTCAACACAACAAGTATTAAATATTAATTAACTAATAGGACAATGAGAAATGTAACAAATAATTACTTTAAATCTTAAAAAAATTAAATGAGACAAGTATTAATTAACTAATACTATAATGACAAATGTAACAATTAACTAGTTTTATACGTTAACGAGAAATGTAACAATTAACAAATTAACTAATAGGGAAATGAAAATTGTAACAATTAACTAGTTTTATACTTTAATGATAAATGTAACAATTAATTTAAAAAATGTAAGTAATAGAAAAAATGAATGAATGTGTATAATAATTAATGGGAGCGAGAGTTTATAAGTAAGTAGGATGAATTTAATTACTATGAATTCAAGTGTAACTAATATAATTGTATAACTAATACTACGTATATAATATAATGTTTATAGTATATAATATATAAGTATATTACTATAAGATGAGTAATACACTTATATTTAATATTTTAATATATATAATTAAATAACAATAAGTACAGATAATAAGTAGATATCAAAGTAAATATTAAGAAGATAATAAGTATATATTAAGTAGATAATAAATATTAGTAATATAGTATATGTATATAAAAGTAGATATATATATATATA